GGTCGCCATCCAATGGTGGAAATCTGGCGTGCAAGGTCAGATGCAATGTCCTGGTTTAACTCTTTGGGACGGTAGCTGGCAGGGTCCTTGTGCTGTTGAAGAGCTGCAATGTCAGGGTTGACCGCCTCGATGGATGCACAAGGCACAGATGCCAGTCCGACTAAACAAAGGGGGCGTTGTAATGCTCGGTATACAAATGCATTCGTCATTCCATGCAGGTCACCAGCAGATTCCGCCTCGAAGAAGGCGTCGTGATCGGTCGCCCCCTGCGGCTGTAGTGTGGATATTAGTGATGGATCATCCGCACATATTTTATATCAACACTTGCCAACATCCGACCTACCTCCAGCACACCTCCGGGGGGGGGGGGGGGGGAAGCAGGAAGGGGACCACAACAGAGGAATGCGATGCAAATAGAAACAAAGCAAGCTATGCACACTCTGGTCCCTCGCTGCCGAGTAGTTGCCCAAGTGCGTAAAAGGCACTAGACAAGTATACTACCAGAGTAGACAACTGTCAACAATGGTGGACAGCAGAAACATAGTAGTAGGTACTAGCAGCAGCAGCAGCAGCAGCAGCAGCAGCCGCTTTGTTTTTTTTGGGGGGGAGAGGAGAGGAGGGGGCCGCACTCATGTGGAGAATTTTGTCGTCGACCGCCGCGCTTCGCGATTCGCCGATTGCGCCTTTAGCTCCTTTTCTGTTAGCCGCTTCCCGCCCATCCTGAGCCTGTTCTTGCGCCGCTCCGCCCCAACCTCATTGCACCTCTCATCTTCACCATCACCATCACCATCACCATCACGACCTGACGACCCTTTCGAGCCGCGCTCGCCTGTCGCACTCTCCTCCCCGCCCCGTGCGCTGACCGAGACAAAGGCGAGCTCTCGACGACCACCATCACTGTTTCCTTGCTTTCCTTTTCCCACCCTGTCCCACGCCATCCATGGACGTTTGAGGTAGGCGCACGCCTCGCTCCTGCCGCGCTGTCGGACTCTCACCGCATTGTCCAAAAGTCCACACTTCGCCGGCCCTCCCCCGGAGCTCATCGCGCCCTCAAACGCGCCCTCTTCGACGACTGCGCATCCGCCTCGTTCCTATCACCATCTTCCGTCACCTACTGCACCCTCTTTTTTTTGTGTCTTTCTTTTTCCCTACGTACCCGCCTTCGCTTGCACAATCTGTTCGCGACTCTCTTCCTTACTTACCCATCTTCTGCCACTGGTCTGTCGCTAGTTGCCCGCGCGTACGCTGAGAACGCGCGACTCTCTGCCGTTGTTTACTAGCTCTACCAAGGGCTTAATCTACCTGGTCTCCAGTGTAACCATTCTGCAGCCCGCACAGTCGCGTTCGCAGAGCACCAAACGCCTGCTGGAACCCGAGCCAACTCAAACCTCGCGCCCTGCATAATCTGGATCCAACGCCGCAACGGAGCAATTGGATCTCAATCAAGCTTCCTGTTTCCACCCTCGTGCTGTCTGATTGCCCTGCTCGACTCCTTGCAGCGTCTTGGAGATTCGACTCTTGGGGCAATTTGGCGACACCGTCAAAGAGGAAGACGCCGACCAACCCTCTTCACATCTCCTTGCCATGGAGCCCGAACGCCCAAATCTTTCCATCACCCTCCCAAGGAACTTCATGTTCCACTACCGTGATGGCCCGGCGCCGCAAACACCGGAACCCGAGCCACAGCCTGAGGAACTGCAGCCTCCACCGCCACCACGGCAGGTGCTCAAGGTTCGCCGCCGCCGCACTACCCTCCTCATGAGCCACGACAGCATGGACGAGAGGATGGACCAACAGCCGATTCCCACAATCGAAACCCCAGAACTCCTTCCCAACATCTCCTCTGGCCTTTCGTCCTTTCCGCCCATTCAGAATGACGCCTTCCTCTCGCCCAGCATGGGATATGCACGCCTACTATCTCCCCCAAAGACACCTGCTGCTCAGGTGCGGACGGTTGATCATTACGATGGACCACAGGACTGGTCAGACGTCGAGCGTACCACATACAGTGCGGCATCGAGCAGGCCAACTTCGTCCTCCGGCTTCTCCGACTCCTCAGTCTCCTCTTGCGACAGCATTGGATCATTCATGTCAAGGGGAGGCAGTTGTACCACTCCTGAAGAAGAGAGGATGAACCCTTTTCTGTACTGCTCTCCGCCCATCACGTCTCCTTACCTTGCATCGCCGTTGATCGCAGCCCCTAAACCTCAGGCAGCCAAGAAGATGAAGCTAAGGGCAACCTTCACAGAAGAAATGGACCACCATCTCTGGATGACGTACATGAAGTACCTGCAGGATCCTACCGTCACTCCGTTCAAGGCCCTTCCAAGCACAACACCTCCGAATGGAGTGTGCCATCGCGTAGCAAGGATGGCCCGAAAGACATGGAAGTGTTCACGCACCTCTCGTGCCAGCGGACTTCGCGTCGGGCCTCACTATGCCTCGCCCTCGGGTACTCCAGCCACCTCGAGACCCAGCAGAGGTGGTAGCAACTCTGCGTCAGCCAGATCGAGCAAGTCCTTTTCTCGATTTCCAAGCGAGAAGCAATGTCGAAAGCGATTACGTGACCTGGCTAAGCAAAAGCCCAGCATTTCGGCTCATTACCAGCGCATGCTCCAACGGTCGCCCTCTCCATTCCAGTCGTCACCGCCTAGGGAGGAGGAGGAGGAGTCGCGACCGCTACCATTATCGTCGCCATTCTCCCAAGGGGCCGCGACTTTCTCGACGCGGGACATGAATGTGTCTCTGGCGACGAGTACTGCTCCGTCGATGCAGTTGGGCAACCCGTTGTCGCAACTGGCAAAGGACATTACACCTCGGCCTGCAGGAAGAACTTGGTCGAGCGTACGGTCCTCTGCGCACCAGAAGTCGCAGTCTCTTCACATTGGTCTGGGCTTGGGTCTTGGATCTCCTTTCCATGCAACATCGGGAACGCCAATTGCGAGTGCGAGCAGGCACAATGCCCGAACTTGGCATGCCCCGTCCTCTTCCGCACAGGGAGCCCGACTTGGCTCACCCTTCCAGTTGCACTCACCGCGTCCCATGTCTAGGGTGTTTAAGCGTCGAGCCCTTCACAACTCGTTTGAAGACCGCGCGCGAACCCGCGGTGACACCTTTGTCAACGAGTTGTTTGGTGCCCCAGCTGAGTCGAGCCACCGACGAGTACGTAGTCGTGGATTCAGCTTGGGTGATATGGTTGAGGGAGCCCGACGACTTCCGCTTGCAAACGATCCGTCTGGGTTCAACCCATTTGCCGACCTAGGTTCTGTAATGCCCAGCCCAGCTCGACGCTCACCTGCCATGTCAGCTGAAGCACATGGCCAAGCGACTGTCCGCTTGGGATCGCCCTTTGGCGCTCGGCCGAGTCACACCTTTCCTCGATCCAACCTCTCTCATAGCTTTGAGCCACCTGCATCGTTTGAGCAACGGTTTGCAGCCATGCCTAGCGACTCGAGACAGTAGTGTTGCTCATACCTGTTCAAGAGCACATCTCCACGCATCCATGGCGTCTATGGCATTAGCGTTTTGGTTGGCAGCCATGCTTGCTGCCGCTGCATATACTCACCCTGTCCACTTGCTTGCACTGAAAAGCATCTCCTATGTTTTTTGTTCATACTGGCCATCGCCTTCTTACTCTTCGTTCGACCACGCCGAAGTGGATCGGGTAACAGCTTGGACGGCTCCGGAACGGGGTCGTCTCCTTTGCTTTCCATTGTCGCATGTTTTGAGAGTTACGATATGGTCATGATGATACGGCTCCGTATGCCAGCGATCTCTTTCACTAATCCCAGAGTAGGGTCTGAGGAACTTGCCGAGCATAGTGCTTGTTGAGTTTGATGAAGCAAGCGATCCGTAACGCTGTTCACGTGGCCTGGGTACTCGGGCCAGTGTTTTCTTCCCTCTGCCTCAGGCTTCTTCCCTCTCTTGTATATCTTGGCAGCGAGACACGGTGTAGTGCGACGCCTTGCCATTTTCTCTCTTTTATTTTTTTTCCTACTTTACCTCATGATGACGGACATGACCAATGTTACGAGGGTGAGATGAAGTCCGATTTGCGTATCGGACATGGTCTCTACGAAGTGGACGATATTTTGGACGTGTGAATGACTGTGTTTGATTTCCTATGCTGTATAGCGGGGTCGGTCTGGCTGAATGGGAGAGCTGGATCGAGACGTTTGGAACCCTTGGAAGGGCTGGCTGGAGGGGGTATTTTGGGCTTCGACGAGAAAGTGAGAAGATCCTGTACACTTGAATAGATGAGCTGGCCCTTTCAAGGAGGGGAAGAAGGGTTGGGGGAGTGGGGGGAGCAGATGTGCTAGTAATGAAAGGAATGGAGAGAAAAGCGAGACAAAGAAAGTGTGTGTGTCAACTAAGGTGCCGATGGCCTCGGGTGCGCGCAGGTGTGCGGCAGGCTGGTTTCGCAAGGTGGTGAGCACAAGCGTGATGCTGGCTGTGCCCCGGATATGCCATGATTACAATGGCACAGTAGGCCGAAGCCAGCGGGCTGAGCTGATGAAATGCCCCGGCCCTTGTCGTGAGCCCCGGCCCCTGTCGTGAGCCCCGGCCCCAAAACGGCGGGAGAGACAAGTGAGTGAGTGAGTGAGTGAGTGAGTGAGTGAGTGAGTGAGTGAGTGAGTGAGTGATGCGAGGTGATGTGACGTGATTGAGCACCGAGAAATGGAAGAAGAGGGCAAGTAGTGACTCCCAACCACGCACCTAGCAGACAGACGACCGAGCGAAGAAAGCAAAAAAGGCAAAAGGAAAAGCAAACAAGCAAGAATGAAAGAAGGCAAGAAAAGAAAAAACTGCGTCGTCCCCGGGGCAGCAGTGTGGATTTGGGCCCCCCTCCCAACCCACAATCACCAACCGCAATCGACTTGCAAGTCGCAAGCCCGTGCACAACCCAACCGGCGCCCATGAATGGATCCAACAAACCCCTCCCCAAGCATGACGCCGAGAAGTAAAGTAAAGTAAAGTAAATGTAAAAGTAAAGCACATCATCATCATCATCATCATGACCACTACCACCAAAACCCCCTCCCTGCTGCATGTCATGTGTGAGTCTTTATACGCATGCACACACATACCCATCCAATCCCTCATCTCTTCATCCCACAGCCTACAGCACACGAGTGAAAAAACATGGAACATGAGTCTAGGGCTCGCCGGCGTCGCTGCCGGTATGCCATGCTATGGTGGTACTCCTAAGCTGTACCGGTAAGTCTCCACTTTGCCATTGCATGTGCTTTGCCATTGCATGTGCTTTGCGTGTGCTTTGCGTGCGTGCGTGTGTGTGTGTGTGTGTGTGTGCGTATGTGTCTGCCCCCCCTCTCTCGACGCCATATAACTCTACAAACCGGGATTGAAGACTTGGCGCGACGCGTACCGGTACAAGGGCTAGTTTACTGTACCGGTTGGGTGGGGTGGGGGAGGTATCATGTGGCTGCGCGAAGGCGTGGGACGCGTTGTGGGCTTGGGATTCTTGTATGCTCGGTAGTCTACCGGGCGCTTCTGTAGAGGCCAAGGCGGGGGAAGGGGGGTTGGTGATGTGATGTGGGTGTGGATGTGGATGGATGATGGATGATGGGGTATTGATGGGTGGGTACATGCCTGGTGTGGTGGAGAAGGAGGGGGAGGGGCGGTGGTAGGTAGGTAGGTAGGTAGGTAGGTAGGTAGGTAGGGTAGTTGTCCTGGTGTGATTGTGTACGGTGAAGAGTATGCAGGCATGTAAGAGTACTACCGGTATGACATGTATGTATAGAGTTTGCTGTGCTGCCGGTTTCTGCGTCACTGATCATTTGCCTATAACGGGCTTTGGCCAGGTGGTTTCCCTGGTACCTCCCCTTTCTCACTCCCTTCTCTCCCTCTCTCTCTCACCCAGCCCAGCCAGGCGGGCAAACATCCGGCAAATACAAGTGCAGGAGGTAAGTAACGCGCGAAGTGTGAAAGCAACACCGTCCGGGTCAGCCTAGACGCAGGCGCGGGGCTGATGTGAGGCCCCCAGCTCTCCAACCTGACCTTTCTGTCCCTCGTATCATCCGTGTTGAATTCCTTTCTACCTTGGCTTTTGCGCTTGCACGCGTCGTTGTCGTGTTTTTTCACTGCACTTGGCGTGTTGATGGACCGTACTACGGTACCGGTAGTGCCATGCCGACCTCGAACTATACTCTAGTACCTGTTCTGCCTGCTACCGGTACCCACCGATACCCATCTAAGCTTGGGCGCATTTCGGCCGTCTGCTGGGTTGTGGGCGATGCGCGGATGGTGAATGGACGATACGCGTTTGGAGAGTGTGAGCTTATTGTTCAAGGTTTCAAAGGAAAGAGGGGGGGTTCGGCGGCGGGGCAAGGCGGAGCCGTGTGTTGAATGTGTGTGTGTGTGGGATGAATGAATTCTTCGACTGGCGGACTGGATGCTAGTAAGTAACAGCAATTCACAGCATCATGACAATATCTGTTTCTTGGCTTGCCTCTACCTTCCCGCTTCACCGTTGGCATTTGACAGCCCATGTCTGGTACGCCGTCCATAGTGGTGACGGGCGTGTACCTGCAGACCGACGAGCGGGACTATCGCGGTTGCCCTGGCCGCCCGTCGTTGTTTGCGCAATCTGGCCGTCCTCGTACCTGAGTTTGTGTCTACCTTGAGAGTTAGTTTCGATCGTCTTCAGTCCTTCACCTGCCCTAGCACGTACCGGTATAGCATAGCACGCAGTGTGTGTGTGTGTGTGTGTGTCTCCCGATTGCACACTGGCCAATGCCTTGGTCTCGCCGACGACCCTACTTTCAGCATCTCGGTGCGATGATGGCTCACGGAGCGCTTGGCCACCGGACACTGCCTTCTACCGTGGTAGTATCAATTCGGACCATCAGCTGCCTCACTTTCACACGCTGGATTGGCTGGGTGACAATGGGCTAGGCATGTTGATCTATCTCATCTTTCCGAACGAGCACCAAAGGACGAAGCCCGCCCATGCCCTTTGCACGAACTCCACCACCACCACCACCACCTCCTCCTCCTCCTCTTCACCCAGATCCCTTCGAATGAGCACTACACCTTCAGTCCCCGCAAATCCTCCCCCTCAGCGTCATACACATACCCACTACAAAACCACACACACAGCTCCATGCCAATCACTCTTCCCCCCCCCATCTTCATCTCCCTCACCTCAACATGCGTCCCCCCATCCTTCTTCTTCTTCTTCACCATCGCCCTCCTCTCCTCGTCACTCGGCTCCCCGTGCTCAGCACACTTATAGTATAGCCACGTGTGCAAGATCTTGGGCTCGGCACACGGTGCTCCGTGGCTATCGGCGCAAGGCACGAGTTCCTCGTCGATGCAGCGCATGTTTCTTTCGGCGCCCGGTCGGTTGCCTTGTTTCATGCAGATGGTGTAGCCGGTCTTGTATAGCTTGCCCATTGTGGATGGGGCGTGGGGCTGGTTGTACATAAAGCGAGTGGTTGACTGTGCGAGGGGTCTGGCTAATTGTAGGGGGGATGTTGGGGATGCGGTATCTGTAGGAGCGGGCGCGGTATTGAATCATTGAGTGCTGTGGAACGGGAGTCGATGGTCTGCGGTTTTGTGTTGCAGTTTTCTGTGTGTTTCTTCTTCGCTGGTGATTAGGGCATGTCATTCATTTATAGAGAGGTAACGTGGAGGTATTCCACCAACGTACACACTATGGATACATGAGCCAGGGTCCAGTGTTGGAACAGGAGAGCCAAGTACTGACAGCTACAGCCGGCTGATTCATCACCGCTGAGCTTCACAGTGCAACGCATAGTCGGTACCCTCGGCTAAGAAGCAGCGACATGGAAGTAAAGCCGTTGATGACCGCAGTCATTCTTGCTGGCAAAAGATCACAGGCAAGAAGTCTAACATAATTGGGCAAACGGCACTTGAAGGAACCAAAAAAAAACTCTCAGCAAACATGACTTATGCTCATCAACATCAGCCAAGCAAGGAATTCACAATAAATCGCGTAGAGATATGCGTCATGAAGCATCAATTGACAACAACACTGCCTCAATCCACATCTTTTGCTCAGAAACCCCTCCCCCCTCCCCCTTCCAAGTCTACGAAGCGGGACTCGCAACCGACGTCGTAAGCGTGCCACTCTCGACATAAGTCCCAGAAAAGTACCAGTCCTCTGCACCCGTTCCGTCGTTGCCCTGGCGCGGAAGACGGAGGACACCCAAGTGCCAATCTGCGCCGTTGGACGAGGTGCTCGAGGAAAAGGGTCCGGCGGTCTTGACGAGCGTGTTGTTGCCGGTCGAGTGCCAGAAGGTGACTTGGTTGGAAGAAAAGTTCTGGGCAGGGAGTTAGAATGTGAGGTTTTTTTTTCTTTCTTTTCTTTCCTTCCCCTCCATTCCCTTTGCGTGATATATGGGAGGAAGAAGGAAAAATACTTACAATCTCATAGACGACATTGTGCCACTCGTCCGCCTTGAGCTCCGTCTTCCATTTGCTCTGGCCCCCGACCATCCACTGCAGGTTCGTGTTGGACGTGCCCGACTCGCCATTGACCCACCCGTACTTGAGCTCGGTGAAGTGGCTCTCGAAGAAGGCGATTTGGTGTTCGTTTGTGGCGCTGGGCACGTTTGTTGTGGATCGCTTGATGGAGAAGTGGTAGTATACCGTGCCCTGGTTGATGGCGGCTTTGGTCTGGGGGATGAGTTCTGTCCGCCACCTTGGTTGTTGTTTTAGCTTTTGATATGTTGAGAGCGAGCGAGCGAGCGAGCGAGAGAGAGAGAGAGGAGGCATACATGTCCGAGTTCCACTTTGCGGTGTTGTCAATCGTGATCTTCACACCTTGCTTGGATCCCGTGTCGCCGGGGTTCTTGAAGTTTGGCGAGAGATTGACGTATTTGGAGACGGGGCCGGAGCCGTGGATGTAGTACTGGGGGGTGGTGTGTCAGAGATGTACTTGTACGAGAATAGAACAAGAGATGGACGTACTTGGAAGTTTCCGACCTGATTTGCCCAGGACCACTTCTCGAGGTCTGCGGACGAGGTCATCTCATTGAAACGTCCATCCCAGAGAATAGTGCCTGCAGACACGGCACTGACAAGAGTGCTCAGTATGGCAGTCTTTCCAAACATCGTCGCGTATCAGATCGAGTTGCACACTGGGAAAAGATAGAACAAATAGCAGCAAGCAGTGAAGCGGATATGCAAAGCAGGCTCCTCCTGAGATGATATTTAAAGTCTACGCTCGGCTAGAGTGCTGACCCTGACCCAAAGCCAGAGGCAAAAGCACACTCTACATCTCACACATCAATATCTGGAAAAAAGCGAAACGTCGCCTCCAGCAACCCAAGGACGGGTCCTGTTCTTGTGTTGCGTGATCACTGCCCTTAATCAATCTATATGTGGCCGCCATGTAACCGGCGGTAGTTCAGAGACGTGGTCATGAAGCTGCACAACAAAGCTACGCGATTGGTCGAGCGTCGCAGGCTTTGGAATATATAGTCGGGTTGCGGAAATTAAGCTACATTAAGCCGGCGCATTTCGCCACGACTAGCTGGACGTAGACTGGGTCAAACGCTTGGGGTGAAGGGAAGGAGGATAATCTGGCTGGCTTTGAGAAACGTCTGATCTGAGAGGGTGACTTCTTGGCGTGCAGGAATTTGATACCATTCTACTTCCAGAAATACGCCTGTAAGAAGTTCTCGAATATGGTGATGAATACGGCACCAAGATGTTCGTCTGCATCAAGTAAGTCGCTCATGTTACTTGAGAGATGAGGTGGCCTTGTCGATCGTCTCTCTCTGTCGATATCCACATTGACTAGCAGCCACTCGGATGTATGGCTGCTAGACATGCAACTGACATCTGCACGTTCACTGAACGACTCACAAGCAAATAGTTGTACTACCATGCACCGCATGCATATCTGGGTTTGAGGGGAGCGATCATCGTGGCCCAAATGTCAAAGAGAAGGGCAACAAAGGCGAGGGGGCGTTGGAACCCATTGCGGACAAGCCTGGGTTGTTGTTGTTGCCTCGGTGACATCACAAACAAGCCACAGTCTCTGCTCCACATGTGCCAACTAGCACGGCTCACGATCAACATCCATCGCATCTGTGCATTGTTCCTTGCATCATCTCCAACGCAATACACTGCCTGTGATCTCGCCTGTCCACACTTGAGCGTGCTCTCGACACTCAGCACACCAAACTAAACCATGGCGGACCACCGCGGCGAGTACTGGTATCTTGACGAAGGCGTCGACGCCAACAAAATCACTGTACCCGAACTACGCAGCATATTGCTCAAACATGGCGTCACCTACCCCTCTTCTGCAAAGAAGCCGGCGCTCGTGAGCCTCTTCATCGAGCACGTGAAGCCCCAGGCTGCCCAGGTACGAAGAGCACAAGCGCACACCAAGCGTTCGACCAGAGGCATCGTCGACGTACCCTCCAGTGCAGCTAGTACTGTGACGACGGACGATACCGGAGACGAAAGCACCTTGCCGCCTCCGCCTTCGACGATACGCCGCACTTCGCGCCGTACCACGCGCCAGCCGACCGAAGAGTATGATGCTCCCGCCCCACGCGCAAAGACACCATCCCGCGCAGTCCCTGCAAAACACAGCAGAGCCCTCGATCCTGAAGTAGACGAACGACCCGCCGCCCGCCGCACGCGAAAGAGCGTCACACCGGCTGTAAGAGAGCCGTCGCCCGACCCAGAAGCATGGCATCGCAACGATGTAGCCAGTCCCTTTACCCAAGAGAATCCATTCCAGAGTGGCAGCTCTCCCGCACTGCCAGATACAGCGTCGCGCGACCGACGTAGAAAGACTTTGGGCTCTGAATTGAAAGAAAAGCGCAAGAGCGATGCGCATCGGCGCAAGACTTTTCAACCCCACGTTGAGCAGCTCGACGAGGGTATTGTCGTGCCTAGCCGTGGCACTTTCGACGTTGCAGATCCACGCAAATACAAAGAGGAAGACTCGACAGATGCTGGAGAGGAATTCACACCAGAAGAACAGCTGGAACTGGTCCGAGACCGAGCCAAAGCGGGCAAGACGGACATACTCCCCCCTCGCAGACGCAGACAGCGCTCCAAGGCTACCGGAACCATCAAGGCCATGTCTTTGACGCTCTTCTCCACTGCTCTTGCTGTGCTTGCTGGAGTTTGGCGGCAAGAGAAGATTGCAGTAGGGTTCTGTGGCATGGGACGAGAATCTACTGCTCTAGCGGGCGTGGAAGTTCCGGAATGGTTGAACGAAGCAGTCCACATCCTACCTCAGTGTGAATCGTGCCCGCCACATGCACAATGCTTTAGAGGTCTTGAACTTCGATGCGATTCTGACTTTATCCGAAAGGAACATCCATTGTCTCTTGGTGGCCTGATCCCCCTCCCACCATCTTGCGAGCCCGATAGCGAGAAAACGCGGAAAGTGAATAGCATCGCAAACAGGGCTGTGCAGGCACTACGCAAACGTAATGCTCAGTATGAATGTGGCGAACCGGATGCCGAAGGAAAGCCAGTCGAGAGCCCTGACATAAGTGAGAAGGATCTTAAGCAACAAATGGCAGCGGCGAAGAGCAAAGGCTTGACAGATGAGGAGTTTGGCGAGCTTTTCGAGAGAGCATTTCCTGAGGTGACTATGCGCGAGGAAGTGGTCGAAACCACCAATGGGTAAGTACATCTTCCTCTCGGTCTGCGACCACTTATATGGCATTTCTGACATGAGCACGTACTAATCAGTTACCTTGCCGTTGACACAGAACAACCGGTGAACGACGACTTGCATCAACCTCACTCGCCGAGCTCCCCATCACCTGCAGCATCCGAAGATCCGTCCGACAGTCCGTTAGACGATATATTTGGCAGATTATTGGATTGATTCTCGCAATTGCAATGACTTCCTATGGCAACTACTCTTACAGGAGAAGCCGCTCAATGGAGGCTCGTGCGAAGCAATTGGCAAGTGATGCCTTTGACCGACTTGCAAACCAGGCCGCTTGGAGTATGCAGGACCCGAGCTCTTACCCGGACAAGGGAATCAGCATGGCACAGCTTCGAGACGATGTGCTTCGTAACGAGTTCTCCGCGTCGCGACGCAAAAAATTATGGGAGAGGGTGCAGAAGAAGGTGGAATTCAACGCAAATATACGCACAGCTGTCAAGACAACTAGCACTGGTGACGTTGCACGCATGTGGGAATGGGTTGGGCCTATTCAGCTACTTGAGGATGGCCGGAGCGGAGGGAATCGTCGAAGTGACCGTTTTAGTCTGGGCAATAGTGTGGACAGCAGCCCTCCGTCAGGCTCAAGGCAGGCTGCTATCCAGAAGTGGGACGAAGGTCATCCGATCTATTAGTTTTGGACGTTGTTTCAGCCTTCTTTTAACCAGGTGAGATACATAGGGTGGCGCCAACGCGTAGTGGCAGGTATGGGTGTTTTCTTTGCGTCGCATGATACCCCAGAATATGATGACGTTATCTTTCTTGACTGAGCTCCTGCTATGTTCAAATACATGAGTGTTTCGTAGTAGCTATCTACAAATATGTACATTGATCTCTAACGACATTAGCTTAAAGGGTTCCAGTGTGACATTTCAGCTACAGTCTTTGTAAGCCAGCATGAATATCTTCTGAATGTGTTCTTTGGTGGCAGTATTACGGATCTTTACTGCTGTTCAAAGTTTGCGGGACGTTGAAGTGAGGATATGAAGTGTGGCTGCACTCCAGTTCGAGTGTGTGGCTGATGCACGATTGCTTAGGTAATATTACCGAACGCACAAACGCTAGCGATATTGCAACCACAGCTTGGAGACGCATCACCACCAACGCCAACCCTTCGCTCCCCACTAACGACAGAGCAAAATCAGTCAAAATGGTGAGTGAGAAATTACGCTGGTGGAGTTTGTGAGACTACGACCGCTGCGACACGACTGTGTGACCACCAACGAGATTTCGACGACGACGACGAGCATTCCTACCTGCGTACGATGACCCACTCTCCGCCGAAAGAACAACTCGAGAGAATGATCCGAGGCAATGAAGAAGCGTCCTACAAAGGCGGAATACCATACATAAGACGGATAAGCTACGCCAGTTTGCTGTCGCGCCGGGTGTGGTGTATGACAAATTGCTCTGCATGCCTGTGGCAAATGCACCAATGCATATGATTGAGGCTCGCCCTGGCTTGCGATGCACTGCACGACAACAGCACTACTTTCGAAGGATACGGATCTGCCATCAGTAAAAATCTTCAACATTGATTGGCACTATTCCTTGGATCTCGTCTGTCAACAACTCGGCGCATAAAGATGCGCCTCGAATTACGCCCTCTCGTGTCGCACAGTGTCTAGTCAAACAACGTAGAGATGTGAAAAGTCATTGTATAAGTGCTGACATGGTTCTCCCAGGTCAACGTACCCAAGACCCGCCGAACCTACTGCAAGGGCAAGGACTGCAAGAAGCACACCCAGCACAAGGTCACCCGTTAGTACCCTCGCGCTCTGGTCACTGAAATGCATATACTGAGACAGAGTAGAGTACAAGGCAGGAAAGGCTTCGCTTTTCGCCCAGGGAAAGCGTCGTTATGATCGTAAGCAGTCCGGTTACGGAGGTCAGACCAAGCCCGTCTTCCACAAGGTATGTTGCGCGCAGTAAATGGTCAGGAATACACACTAACAGCATACAGAGGGCGAAGACAACCAAGAAGGTCGTTCTCCGTCTAGAGTGCACACAGTGCAAGACCAAGGCACAGGTATGCTCATGCAGTCGATTGTTCATGCGACATTTACTAACACGCCACAGCTCGCTCTCAAGCGATGCAAGCACTTCGAACTCGGTGGTGACAAGAAGACCAAGGGTGCCGCCCTTGTCTTCTAAGCGTGTGCCTTCTTTCTCTCTCTTTTGCTGGGCTCTCGGCGTAGTCTTCAGACGGATGGGATGGACGACCTCACCTTCGACACACGCAATGCATCAGTCATCCATGCATTAGACATGAAGGAGCACGAGGCGGAGTGTCAGGGGATGAAATGGTCGCCGGTCACGAATTTAACGGACTGTAACCTATATATGCATCAAATGGAGCTCGATTGAAGAACTGCAAACAAATACCGTCCATAATTTTGTCCTGATCTACCTGACTGATAGGGACATGCAATTGCTCTTGACATGATAAAATGAACTGTAGGGAGGCAGGTACGAGGATGCACGTACCGGTACCCCTCCAACCCCACCAACTTGTCGAGCCGCCTTCTCTCTCGTCTTATCATCTCCAACGTAGCTCGGGACCATCCCCTTCGCATACTTGACAATGACAGATACAAAGAAGACTGTGCTTATTATAGGCGGCGGCGCAGTAGGGACCATCGCAGCCGTCAACCTTGAAGTTGGTGGTTTAGCCGCCGTTACTGTTGTACTGAGGTCCAACTACGCCGTCGTCAACGAGCGAGGTTATACAATCGAGAGCTGCGACCATGGAAATCTAAATGGTTGGAGACCTAGTGTTGGTGAGCCAAACTTTAGGATACAAATCATATCGCCATTGCTAACAAGGACCAGTGCGCAACACCATACCCAACTTAGTAGAAGAGAGTATCGAACCCTACGACTACGTAGTGCTCTGTACAAAGAATATACCAGATGTCTCACCCACTGCGGTTGAGCTCATTGCGCCAGCATTACCAAAGAATAGTAATCGCACCACCCTCTTGCTTCTACAAAACGGGCTCAACATCGAAAGACCTTTTTTACGCCCTTTCCCCAATACACCAATCATATCCGGTGTCTCCATGATCGGCAGTGCAGAGCCATCGCCAGGTCACATTGTCCACGATGAAGGCGACAGACTCCTCATTGGTGCCTTCCCAACGTCGCACATCAACCCTGCTTTTCCCGAGCGTCGAGCCGAGGAGTTCGTCGCGTTGTATTCTGCGGCCGGAAAGACGGACTGCGCATACTCCCCCAACGTCCTGCATGATCGGTGGAAGAAGCTGGTCTTCAATGCCTGCCTGAATCCCATCTGCGCCATCACAGGCCTCGACGATGGACGCATACGCCTCGCTGACGGCGCATTGGATGGTCTGGTAAGACCAGCCATGCGCGAGATTGTCGCAGCTGCAAAGGCAGTCTGTGGTGTCGAGTTGCCCGACGGAGTAGTAGAGGCCACGATCAACGCGGACCCATTGGAAAAGTACCTGAAGCCAAGTATGCAGCAAGACTTGGAAAAGGTAGGATGGACGCTAGATTATCAAAAGTTTCACCGCGCTGATGTACCACAGGGGAACTTGATCGAGTTTGAGAATCTTCTTGGTGAGCCGTTGAGAGCAGGTAAGGAGCGTGGAGTCCCGATGCCGATGCTCGAGGCGTTGTATCAACTTGCGAAAGCGATACAGTGGCGGATCAAGGAAACCAAGGGGCTGGTGCAGATTCCACAAGCGTAATGGAGAGATGGAAGGTAGGTGAGCACGCGTAGGTTGCACAAATAACAAGTGTCGATTCATTCATTACAAGCATTAGTAACAGCCTAGTTGCTCCTTATTTACAGAAGAAGGTTCTCCATATGCCAGCGAGCGAAAGGAAAGTTTAGATCGTGTGGAGAACTTTCTCTGACAGCTCATCGTCCTGATGATTAGCATGGAGGCCACGTGAAGACTATGTAGCACACGCTCAAGTCCACAGAGGCTTCGTCTCTCTGTACTGAATTGTTTTACGCCCAAGTTGCGCAAACGCTGTATCCTTGCCCAGGTCGCCTTTAACGCACGGCGAGCTTCAACAGGGATAGATTTTCAAACTCGTTATTAGGATAATCACATTATAGAGTATTATTTGTTATAATCTCAAGAACTCCTGACCAGATCATATAGATGAGCCTAGGTAGCGAGCATGAGCTAAGATAACGTGCACTAACGGGATGCTTCCAAGCTAGCTGCTGAGTGAAAGGCATATTCCATAGTCTAACATGATACTTTAGAACCCTTTCGATTGAGACAGGGAGAAATCTGGCCATGCAAGCTTTGGCTTTATACCAAGAGGAAAGAGATACAAAGCATTGTCTAGATCAAGCATGCCAAAATGGCAAAGCTCAAAAGCAGATGAGGTCAGGTGCTATACCATAATAGCACCGTGCTGTAAGATGGATCCCCGTGGCTAGCAGCCGTAGAGTAAAGGTGCAGATTGATCGGAAGCGCAATTGGGATTTCGATGCGGTATTACCGGTACGGTACCTAGGGAATCGGGGAAGACGTCATGAGGCTCAAGGCCGAGGTTCCCCACCCGAATTGTCGGTAGCTCTCCTTGGACGACCTCTCGACAGTCAGCAGCCATGTACCGGTACAGCATTACCGGTACAGTTTGAATCGGCTACTTACCCATGCAAGTTACGCAAGTAGCCTGGCCTTCTAATATTGCTAGTCGCTCCGACTTCATCAATTCTTCCTTTTGTTCCATTTCAAAAACACATCCGGCATCGGCTGCTGCACCACCAAAACATCGATTTGATACCATAACCCAGAGTTAAACAAGCAGCTGTCACCCAAAAATGCCGACCCAATCCTCCTTCCCCAATGTTGAAATACCAGACGTGGACCTCTGGGCCCTCATGTTTGACCGCAAAGACCGTGATTTCTCAGACGACAAGATCATCTACCGCAGCGCGACAGATGCCAATCGACATTACACATTCGCACAGGTCAAAAGCCTGGCCACAACCTTTGGCGAAGGCCTTCAAAATCTCTGGGACTGGCAACGGACGGATGTACTGGCTTTGTTTGCCCCAAACGATATAGACATCCCACCTGTGATCTACGGCGCCTTTTTCGCTGGAGGCATTGTGACGCCTGCGAATCCAGGATACTCGGCCGATGAGTTGGCATATCAATTGGAGAATTCAGGGGCGAAGGGTTTAGTGACGACAAAGCACTTTATTGAGACGGCGCTGACGGCAGCGGAAAAGGTGGGAATCAAAAGGGATCGCGTGATTCTGCTGGGTAAAGATAAGGATAAAAACCATCGGGTGAAGCACTGGACGAACATCAGGAAGACTTCGGGGGCGTTGAGGTATAGAAGGAAAAAGGCGAAGCCAGAGGATTTGTCGTTTTTGGCGTATAGTAGTGGGACGACGGGTTTGCCAAAGGGAGTCATGCTAACGCATCGGAACATTGTTGCGGATCTGCTCATGGCGCAAGGAGCAGTCGGACATTGGTATACATCTGCCGATGACAAGTTTCTGGGCGTGCTACCGTTCTTCCATATCTATGGGCTCACTGGCCTAGTGCACCAGGCGCTCCATCGAGGGATCGAGGTCGTGGTGATGCCTGGTTTCGATATGGAGCCCTTCTTACGGACCATACAAGACCACAAGATAACCTTTATCTATGTTGCGCCCCCCATAATTGTGCGGTTATCCCGAGACACACTGGTCGACAAGTATGACCTTTCGTCTGTCAAAATGATGACGAGTGGTGCTGCCCCTCTGTCCAAAGAACTCGTTGATGCAGTACACAAACGCCTGAACATCAAGATCAACCAAGCTTACGGGCTGAGCGAAACAAGTCCTATGACACATACTCAGGTAAGTCAGGTCAATGTTAACCCGCACTTGGGACAACCTGCTGATTCCCGCCGACCTACAGCCCTGGAACGAATGGTACACTTCAGTAGGCTCAGTCGGCAAGATGTTTCCCAACATGACTGCGAAATACATATCCGCCTCCGGCAGCGAGCTTGGCCCAGGAGAAGCTGGAGAGCTCTGGCTCAGCGGTCCAAACATCTTCAAAGGCTATTGGAAAAACGAGGCCGCTACCCGGGACTCGATAATGGCAGATGGCTTCTTCAAAACAGGAGACATTGGCTTCCAAGACGCAGAACACAATTTCTACATTACAGACCGCGTCAAGGAACTCATCAAATACAAGGGCTTCCAGGTCCCTCCTGCAGAGCTCGAGGGCAAATTGATGGAAAGCGAATTCGTAGACGATGTAGCTGTCATTGGCGTAGCGGACGAGGAACAACACACCGAAGTGCCACGCGCGTACATTGTGCCCTCGCAGCCTACAGCTGGGGAGAAAGAAGCACAAGCCATTGTATCCTGGCTAGGCAAGAAAGTTGCAAGCCACAAGCGCATCAGAGGCGGGGTCGTCTTCGTGAGCGAAATCCCAAAGAGCGCAAGTGGCAAGATATTACGGCGTTTGTTGAAGGAGAGAAGTAAGGCCGATGTGCCACTGGGTATGGTCGATGTGACTACGAGGGAGAAGGCGAAGCTTTGAGATCCAGGGGAACGGTCTTAAGCTTACATACTGTATATAATAGATACCTCCCGGTGCTTTCCTATTCACCAATGTCTCGTACATACAGCACCTCGCCTAAGTTGCCACAATTGAACCAGAAGAGTTTTCTGGGCTACATCCAGAAGGATTGCGATCTTGAATCCTTCACGAACCCTCCCGCCGTGCCGCGCCTATATGAAGCTTCGCGAGCCGTGGCGTACGTAGCTGGTACCAGGTATGAGGGTGCAACCACCCATGCTGCAAATGCATCTGTCCAGAGTGCACCGGTGCAAACAGCAGCCACATTACACCGTGTGCTAAGCACACATGAACCGAGACAGTGAATCGACAAACAAAACACGGGCTATATAACGCAAGTCTATATATCGCTACCACGTACAACTGAAAATCTAGAACACGTGGAATCCACTGAAACAAACACCGTCTCCACCTCCTACAATACCACACTCTACCCACCACAACCCCACTCCTCCCCTCCCACTCCCCACCCACCATATCCCCATCACCGCTCTCCTCATACCACTCACCCCAATAACCACAACACAAGCCCCAACACGAACCCGCACTGAAGAACCCTACCCCCTCCCCAAACAAATCAATCAGTGCCCGGTACCTCGTGTTGTAAACGAGCGGGGCCAAGAAAGAACACGGGCGCTGTTGATGTTGCAGATCATTTGTTTTGGTTCGCGGAAACCAGTGGGAAGGGCCGAGGACGGGGCCTGATATACATACCATAGATCTTGATGGGGCCGAGGTAGTGCCGGGATTGGGGATGGGGAGGGGGAGGAAAGGTTTCGGGGGTTTGCGATGGGATGTGTGATTGTGTTTTAGAGGGATATGGTGGGTGGGTTATGTTGAGCAGGACGAGAGAGTTGATAATTTAGAGGTGAGAATATGGGAATGATGCATCTGTTATATTTTGGGTATGAGGGATGAGAAGAGAATCTACAAGCAGGATATCACTTTGTTTTTCTATCTTTGCGTGGTTGATAGTCTACCCAATGTGCTGTGAACGAAGGTGAATGAAAAATCGCTAATATGCTACATAGGACTAATCTACCTCAACTCCAGTACAGTATGCTGCTGTACATGCATGTTGATATCATACTCTCATTACCGCAAAACAAACGAATCAACGACATATACCGAGGAAAAGAATTGAAATCGCATGAGAAGGCATTCATAGACAATAGCGACAGTGCGCCATTCCGCAGCAGAACAAGCTCGCATGACGATATATACCATGTATTTTAGCACCAGACGCCTCCTTTTTCACAGCGTATTGTTTGCCGTGGGTGTGGCATCTTCTCCTTCTTAGTTGTGGGTAACCTCCCAGTTCTTGGAGACGTGAATTGCGTCCGGAGGGGACTGTGTTTCTGTGAGTTTTCGCTCTGAATTGTTGTCGTCGTAGGAGACTGAGACGTGGGTCTGGTCTTTGTCGTGCTGTGGGAGTTTGTCAGTACATATTTCGTATTCGGATTCGTGGGCTGGGTGGGGAAGGGGGGCGAAGAACATACCAGTTCGAGCCACTGGGTGTAGAGGCCCGGCCTCGCCTCGTTGGATCGCAGGGGCCCAGGGCCAGAGGTACTCGCTTGTCCACTGTGGCCTGAAGATGATTGCTTGTACTTTGCGCGCCACTGGATGTAGAAGGGACGAAGCATGGGGATGCTGATGCACAGACCGGCAAGCATGAGCTCGATTGTGCACAGCATGAAGGTCGTAAGCGAAGTACCCGTCAAGTTACTCAGGAGATCTGTATCCAAATCAGTGTCCACGTCGCAAAAGGACAGATGTGAGGAATCCCTCTTACCGATGGTGTACATGAGGATAAAGCGTGCGATACTAATGACCACGCACGCAAGCCCAATACCGAAACAGGCGAGGACCGCAAACTTCTCCGTCTTGCGCATCTGCAACTTCCATACACATCGGACGGGCAGCACGACGATCATGAGGTCGGTGATCATGTTTGTGAGGATCAACATCTTCAGGAGAAGAATCTGATCCAGGCAGTGCCCGATGCGATCGACGGTCCATTGCTGGGCAATCGGGTCGCACAGGAAGATGAAGAGGAAGTTGAAGATGAGCGCCCAGAGGATGACGATGCTGCCGGTGATGTAGACGTGCCACCGCAGTTCCAACGAGAATACTCGCAGGTAGAGGGCGATTTGGGAGAGTTTGAGTGCGGCGAGGGCCCAGATGTAGACTAGCGTGTAGCTGAATGTGATCTTCATGATGAAGGATATGTTGTTCACCACTGTAGATTCGATTCAGCAATAATACTCGGGTAGATAGCCATCTGGAGAGTCTTACATATTGGGAAGACTGGAGAGTTGGGGTCGAAATCATAACCCACTCCACTGGTGAAGACTGATGAGGTATTTTAGTACACATTCACAGCGCTCTAGAGACAAGTGAAGACATACCAGCAACATTGAGCCCGATGGTACTCGTAGTCAAGACCTGAAGCTTCTCATTAGCTAGAGCTCTGATTACAACCACACTTCATCAACACTGACCAGTGCAACAATGGACAGTGCATCATCCAGTCCCAAACCCGGTCCACGCATACGTCCCCGAACTCGAAGCACGAGAACTCCTGCAAACAGCACCCATAGCACACACATTGCTATGAGTGAGTTGCGGGCACTGGGCGTCATGCCTATCCATATCGTCTCGAGCGCCATCCTGGCTGGTGTTGTGAAAGAAAACAACCAACTTTTTTACATAAGGAAACGAACGGAACAGGAGCAAAGAGCAGCGGCAGATTGGCGTCAATCTGGGGTACTAGAACGAAGAGCGACCGAGAGGAGTTATGGGGACTTGATTTTAAAAACGCAAGAATCTTGCCCCCTCTGCGCCCCCCCCCCCCAATCGTCTTAGTCTGTCCAGACTGAGCAGTGCCTGAATTCGATCATATCATGGAGGGCAAATTCAGACATGTGGACCTGCCATCCGTAGCTCGAACCGGTTCTCATGCACTCTAACGAGAAGAGGCGAATGGGTCTCCCCATTGCGTCCCAAATAGCCTGACACAAAACGTGCATCTCCACTTGCTCCTCCAGGGTCGCAACCTAGGCGAGACCGATCAGCAGAGCTTCAAAGGCAAGTGTAGTGTTGATCATGATAGTTATGCGAGGTACGAGCGCGCCACACTACTGCATACCGGTACAGGTAGTATGTCATGGATTTAGATAACCGCTGCCCCTTCCAGCCTCTAGGGCGACAAAGCCCGTCGAGCATGGATGTGAGCATGGAAACTTTTGCGTTTTTTTTTGCCCGACCTCAAGGCTCACGCCTCGCAAAGCCTCCTGGCTGCTCTTTTAGCCTGTCCAAATGTAGACTCGTTGCCGAACTGAGGCGGTCCGAGCCACTCAACCCAAAGCCCCCACCCGTGACGGAACGCCTCAGCCGTGGCGGCAACGTTTCTTCCTCTTCTCTCAACTACCGCGACTACAGTACCGTCATGCTTCGGGTATTTCGTCTGTAGAGCATTACCGCGCCAATGAGAAGTCCCCGGACGCCCTGCATGCCCCTCTCTATCTTCAGAAGAGAGAGAGAGAGAAGGAGTAGTCTTTTTTGGCGTTGGTGTCTGAACACGCACTTGGATGGCTCATGCTGGGTGGGCTTCAGCAGCCGTCTCCCCGCGGACCCACCCCAACGTCTCCTCATGCGACTGTAGTGGCCAATGAGGACTGTCATGTTACTCGAAACACACAGTGGAGAAGATAGGGGGGGTTTCTTCGGCGATTTACATATGCCATCCAGCTAGACTTGCCCATTTCCGGACTGACAGCATGTCGCCAGAGACAGGAGAGGATTTAAGCTAGACTGTTGAAACCGCGGGTGAAGGTCCCAGAGGTATATACGCGAACGACCCTGCCTGAAACAGTTTCCCGGGACATAATTGTTCTTCCTCTTCGTTGGGTGGGTGATTTAGTGGGTTTACAGCTGTATATTACCATTGTACAGGCTTTGAAATGGAGATTCATTCGGGCCTATCTCAGAGCCTCAAGGCTGGCCTCTCTCTTAGCACTATCCTCTCCCTCGTTGGTGTGTGGATTGCATACCGAATCGCTATTGCAATTTACAACATCTCCCCGTTTCATCCACTCGCTCGGTTCCCTGGTCCCAAGATTGCAGCGGCGTCGTATCTGTATGAAGCCTATTACGACTGGATTCTCCTCGGTCGCTATGGCAAGGTCATTGCTCGCATGCACGAGCAATACGGACCCATTGTCAGGATCAACCCAGATGAACTGCACTGCAACGACCCTGCCTTTACAGACGAAATCTACGCGGGTCCTGGACGAGTTCGCGACAAATGGCAACATCAGCTGAACACTGGTGGTGCTGGGCCCGTCTCCGCTACGGGCTTCTCAACCGCCAACCATGAATTGCATCGTGCACGCAAGGCGCCATTGAGCAAGTTCTTCTCTCGCCAGCAGATGCTCAAGCTGGAAGGCGAGGTGGGAGACTATGCCCAGATGACGGCCAACAAGATGCTTGCGTCTGCCGGGAAGGGGGCTTTCGATGTCAAGGAGGCCTTCAACTGCTTTACTGCAGACGTCATATCTCAGTACGCTTTCGGTGAACCTATGGGCTTTGTTGCTCAGGAAGGTTGGGAGCCAAACCTGGCAACATGGGTCAAGTCGTTCTTCAAAAGCGCCTACATGATGAGACATAATGCCATTGGTCGCAAGATGGCGCAGATTATGCCCTTCATGGCCGACTACCTCGGTGAGGACATCAAAGCTGTCATGAAAGTAATGAATGTCACGATCCCTGGATATATCGATGCCGCCCTGAGGAATCCTGAAAATGGACGTGTGTTCGCCGACATGATAAGCAACCCAAAGGAGCTCACGGCAGAAGAGAGGTTCCGATTCAACGGAGAAGGCTTCAACTTTTTGCTCGCCGGGACAGAGACAACGGCTGTAAGTATTTTCCCCCTAAGCTTATAGTCGACATCTAACCAACCGTCCCCTAGGCCGTCCTCACCGTCTTCACATACTGGAATCTCGCGAAGCCCGAGATCTACCAACGTCTCCTGTCCGCATTCGCAAGCAGTGGCATCGACACCCAAAAGATCAAGTGGGTCGAGCTAGAAAAAGTCCCCTACTTCTGGGCCGTGCTGCAAGAGTGCCTTCGCATGATGCCCGGCGTCTCCCACCGGTCCGCCAGAATTGCTCGTGAGGAGGACTTGCACTACAGGAGCGCCGATGGCAAGGTAGACTGGGTGATTCCCCGAGGAACACCCATTGGCATGACTTCCATGATCAACCATTGGAACGAAGAATTCTTCCCCAACCCAGATGACTTCCTGCCCGAGCGCTTCCTTCTCGAGGATGGGCAGCCAAACTACCAGCTGTCCAAGAGGCTGATTTCGTTTGGAAAGGGTAGTCGCAGCTGCATTGGTGAGAAGTAAGTAACAACAAGTCCTGGCCCCAATTCCACCCCTGCTCTTGCTAACGATGTACTTAGCTTGGCATACTGCGAGCTCTATCTTATGGGTGCTCACATGGCCTTTTCCATCCTCCCGAGAGCGAAACTTGTAGACACTACGGTGGAGGATATTTCCTATGACCACGACTGTATCGTCCTGCAGACCAAGAAGGGCTCGATTGCGGTCCGCATTGCTATCGAGTAGGTTTGACGACGTTGTTGGAAAAGCAGCTTTCGAGTAGGATGGACTTCGTCCTTCAAACAAAGAGCTTTCAAACACATCCACTGCCCGCCCAAAAGAGCCACGACAGCAAATTCCTAGAAGCCAAAAGCCAAACCGCGGACAGCAACTCGCATCATAACACTGCACCACCACAAGGCCAAGCAGCAAAAACCCCAGAACCAGAAGTCTATGTACTAGGGAAACCGAACAATCTATAAGCTACATTCCATACTTCCTTTCCTTTCGTTGTCGACGACGTGAACAATCGTGGTATAGTAAACTGAATTAAATCCGTCAGCATCTAAACTTGCAAGCGTCTGTGTATATTCATAGCTTGACTGAATACCTAATCGACCACCATATACCCCCACAGTTATTTGGCAGAGACAAAACATCACATCACATCACATCACATCACAACCTATCCTAGCAAAATCCAATCTCAAAACAGCCCAGATGAAATGCATTCGTCAATCTCGCATCATAGTGTACTCTTTACACCTCGTCGCTTACGGTATCGAAACACACATATACACATTCGCCAAGCCCACATCCTTCACACGAGACCCCAATCTCCATGACCGGGGAGGGGAGGGGGCCCTGAGAGATAAGGGCATGATAACCATGCATTCATTATCAGAAGCAGCAGCAACAAACGACATGCATTTGAAAAACAATAACGCCTACCACCATACACTGCCGTGAAGAAGAGGTACCATGTTTTGAAAAAAAAATAGACAAGGGAAAAAAAGTGAACCGTATAACCAAAAACAATCCACGGATGTTCTTCTCCTTCGCTCATGTTTTCGCCGAAGAAAAGGCCATGTGCTGCGCCATACCGAATGCCCGCCGCTCAAAGATGAAGCCGAAGCCATGGAAAACTTTTTGTATATCGTGTATGTGTTCGTGAAAAAGTAGAAATGAAAATTGATCATGCCGTGTGTGTGCTTGAGTGGAAGCATGCAGCCTTTTGCCGAAAAGAAAGAAAACCAGAGGGAGAGAGAGAGAGAGAGAGAGAGAGAGACGCCCTAGATGCCAAAGTCGGTCGAACAGCTAGAAGTGTTCGAAAGCATTGGTGAAACGAAGGAGAAAAATGCCGAATTTCTAGAAATGATCATGTTTTGCCGCCCCTTCTTTTGGCATATTGGAGAAGACTCGACAGGCCAGGGTTCAAGTGCGGTCAAGAGGCCAGTTTTGTGCCTTGGCCAGGCCAGAAGAAGCAGCGGCGCGGTGGCCGCCGACGGGTGCCAGATTGGGGCTTCCTTTGCCGCCGCTGCCCCACGACAGACCGCTAAGACGCTTGTTGCTCGTGCTCGAGGTTGTCGATGCCCCGTCCTTGATCTTGTTCAGATCCTCCTCTTCCTCCATGCTAAACAAGCCTTGCTCTTCGTCAATTCTCTCACGATTGATGCTACTGCTACTAACAGCCCGATCGAGGCCAAGTCGTCCACCCGAGCTACCAATACTACCACCGGAAGTCACACGGTTGATGCCTGGGTGCATTGGGCTACTGGTGATGCCAGCTTCATCGCGCGATGAGAGTCGGGTACGCTGCATCTGCGAACTGAGGAGGCTCATTGAGCTCTGACGTGGAGGCGATGAGACGAAGGGGCTGATATCGCCTGAGGTTGTGCGATGCATGGCGCGTAGAGACGGGCTGGCCCCCGGGTGTAAGCTCGAGTTACGCAGCGGTGATCCAACGTGTCCGAATGCTGAAAGGCCAGGCGCTGATCCAGGCTCGAAGCCGTTGTCATGTGTAGGTCGTGACTTGCCCCATAGGGATTGATATCGTGACGGAGATGATGCATGCCCTGGCGGTGAACCAAGATTGCCATCCGATGCTATCGGCGAAGCTCCCATCCTGGAGAGTTCGCCCTGGTCGCGCGAGAAGCGGCGCATTTTTTCTTGCGGGGTCAAAAGATCGCTGAGAGAGCCAGGGAGCAGGTCTTCCTCCAGCCTTCCTATCATGTCTGGGTCCTCCCACTCCTCGTCCTTGTACGTCGGTCGTGCTCCTACACTGGAAGACAACATGCCTCGAGACCGATTCGCGGCCAGTTCTGAATGCAACATCCTCCGCCCAGCCGGCTGCTCGACGGACTCGGGTGGCGACGAGCCCAACACTGCAGCCCGATGATTGTCACCGAATGCTGAGCTGTGGAGATTTCGTAAGGCAGACGACTCGGCCTGGTATGAGGAAGGTGGAGAGTTGGCAAGGAAGGTTGCGGGTACTGAGGAAGCTATTGGGCCGTATCGCGCCATGTGAGAAATGCCTTGGCTGTCAAAGGAGGCCGGCAGGGGAACGTCCATTACGCTGAGCCCTTTCTGCACCGGTGACAGGAGAGGTCTTCCATTTTCGTTTGGGGGCGAGCCGTAGTTGGAGCCAGGGTGGGACGAGAAGGTCGTGTCGATGGTCGGTATCATGTCATACTGGGCTTTCTGATTCGCGTACTCGTCTGGAATGGCATACGGGTAGCCCGGCTGCATGCCGCCCATGTGTGCCTGCATTGTGAGCAGAGAACTGTTCATGGGCAATTCTTGTTGGTGAGGGATATTCATGCGGCTGAAGTGGCCACCGGCGTTGCCGCGGTTGACGACATGACCATTGGGGAGGATGTGGGCGAGTGCGCATTTGGCACCGAATTTGCAGTTTCCCTGCTTCACGTCAGCGAGCCAGTTTGGGCCGTCTGGGCTGTATGTCTTACCTTGGTGAAGTATTTGCAGGGTGCTCGCTCGGTGATGGGCTCATCCGAATGCAAGAACGGACAGGCCTTGCCAGCCTGACATGCGCCTTGACGATAGAATTTGCAGGGTACGTGAGAGGTGTCTGCCCACCATGTTAGCAGCTGATGGTAGTCCGATCTGGGTTGAATGCTTCCATACTCTTGTTGGTTGGCGGACTGCGCGGGCCTGCAAAGCCCATCTCGCGCAGGTTCGCTGCATGGCCGTTGGCGTTGCCATGGATGCGCCCGCCCGGGACTGCCATGGGCCCGTTGCCGTTTGCGCCCGCCATTGCGCCGTTGGAGAGCTGGAGAGCTGGTGTTGGAGGTCGGGCGAGCTTCGGCTTCGAGGAGAGAGAGAGAGAGAGAGAGAGAGAGAGAGAGAGAGAGGTGGAGGGTTCGAGGTGAGGTGAGGGGTGGGCTTGGGGGGGAGTCGAGTGGTGAGTGAAAGGGTGCAGGTGCAGGCGGATGGTGAGTTGGTGGGGTTCCTCTCCTCGTCTTTGGTGGGGCGTGCCGGCGAAGGCTGAGTGGAAAACTGGTTGGCGCACAAGTAAGTTGACGTTACCGGTAAGTTACCGGTAGTCATCGCGCTCTGGCAAGACGACTCCAAGCACGAACTCACGAGCACGGTGAGGTGAGGGGACGGGAACAGCGCTGACAGCCTCGTCTATTGCCCAAAACTGTACCTGTCAACCCAGCACACCCAGCAGCATGTCGCGTGATCATCTACCAGTACCGGTACATCTGCCTCTCCACTCGACATGGGAACATGACAGTCTGCTCACCTGGGAAGTCAGGTCATCTGCATGCATCACACCTCACCGTCAGCTGCGGCATGTTTCATGCTTTCCATGGTGCAGAATAGCTTCTGTCCATCTCTCCGTGAGTGACTACCGGTAACTAAGGGTACTACTATCGTAACTACTATTTCCATATCATCATGACATGACTTCTCCCCATCTCCCACACCACATAATTATATCCAACACCGGTAATAACCCCCCCCCCCCCCCCCTCTAAATATGTCCGATCCGCAAGATACCTGCCGAGCATGTGCTATTATACCACTCCATCTGCAAATCATCCATCATGTGCACCTGCGGAATCCCAAGATTATACGTATACGCATTAAACTGAATCCCAGACAGCGCCCGGAACTGGTCGTTGAAGTAGACCTGCGTCAGCCGACACTGAATATAGCCCCAACATGGCGGAATCGTCACATTCTGCTCCACCACAAGCACCTCCTCCTTGGCAACCGCGTCGTACCGGTATCCCGAGATACGAAGCGTGCATGGTGTGAGGCCATTCAACGCGCAGCCAAAGTATCCAGAGTATGCGTTGAACCAGTACGCATTCACCGACGCTCGGGGTCCGGCGCCAATCTCCCCGGGCAAAAGTGTGCCTGCAAACGGCGTGTTGTAGAGAAGTCGGCCTGTCAGGGGTAGAAACATGGCTACGTTTGGCTGTGAAATGGCGGGAAAGGGTTCCCACTTGTCGGGTACATAGGTGAAGCCATTGGCATAGAACAGGTGGTGGTAAGGGTTCTTCATCCCGTTTGCTACCAGCAGTACACTGTCCGCCTCGCCAACCACTGTATCATCGAACGTGAGCGTGAAATTCCCAGACTCTCCGCACAAGGTTGGCTCGGGGTCTGCGGGGATGGTCGCCACCGCCGTGGTGGCTGCAGGTACTTCTGTCATGCTCGGAATGTCCTGGCGCTTCTCCATGTCTTCTTCTGGTTCGTCATCGTCAATGGTGGTCACTACAGTCTTGAAGCTCCTTCGCTTCGAGGTGAACATCGCAAACGATGGCAGGGCCGACAAAGGTGTCTGTCGAATGGACCGGGTAGTAAGGGGAATTGTCTGTAGATCTGAGGGCAACGGTCCTGTCACAGTGGGGTACCCACCAGTCCAATAAGATACCGTGGTCGTGATGTCCGGCGAGGGGAAGATGAAGCTGATGGCCGTATCGCCATAGGAGATGACCTTTGTAGTTTGATCGCGAACCCCAAAGGATAGGCTTTCACTTGGCTCCGGCCCGGAGATCGAACCGAGATCGGATGGAGCTTGCGTAGACTTTGCCAATGATGAAAGCGGAGGACTTGGACCAGACACTCCAGTACTCAGAACACTCGGTGACGAGATAGACCCAGCTGGGGAAGGTGTAGAAATTGACCGTAGACTCTCTGTCGATTGGATGGATGATGCTGATGCACCAGTAGAAAATGGCAAGGCGCTTGAATCACTTCCACCAGGTACAGCGACCAAAGATGGTGTAGAGCTCGCGGATGGAGTAGCACTCCCACCCGGAGGCAAGGAAGAAGTGGGGACAGAGCTTGAACCGCTCACAGTTGCAGGTGTAGTTGAAAGATTTGATACAGAGGTAAAAGACGATGCAACAGGTAGAGACGTTGATCCACCAGAGGACATCAAAGGACTTGATGCAGATGTCGCCGCGATAGAAGATTGAATGCTGCTCCCTACTGATGATGAGATCGGCAAGCTGGGAGCTGAACGTGTTGTCATGCTGCTCGATGATGACGATGATGATGATACCAAAGACATGGAAGAGGTAGCAGCTGAATTCCTACTAAAAGAAGATAGCATTATCGAGGACGAAACTGTGCTCATAGACATTGTCTCAGCTGAACTCTGTGACGATGAACTGACTAATGCCGAACCGCTAGAGTCTATTGGCGTGTTGAATAGGCTTCCCGACGAACTGATCCAAGATGACCACGGAGATCTCGTCGCCGTTGTCTCGGTCTGAATACTCATGAAGCCTGTAACTGAGATTGTACTGCTCGCAGAAGACGAAACCTGCGGAATGCGAGATGACAATCCAGATTCACTGACAGTGGAACTAGAGCCACTCGGGGTGCTAAACGAGCTAGAAGGGCTAGATGACGATATGCTGCTCGACGTTGTGTTGAATCGAGTTGAGGTTGTCGAAATGGGTGGTACCCCAGTAATGAAGCTAGGAGTCGTAATCATCGAAGACGTATTCGCATACGAAGGCATCAAACTAGTCGTAACAGTGGTGGTTGACACTGGCCCTCGTGCTGTTGCGGTTGAGGAAGCCAAGAAGCTGGAATTGCTACTGGGGATGTCCGGAATCGTATCGACTGTACTGGAACTGAAAGAAGACGAAATAGTGTTGGACGCCACGCTATCAAGCGGGGAAGATGTGGAAATTGAAGAAGTCCTCATCGACGTAAGGGGCAAGGTAGGAGACGGTGTCGTTGACAACATGACTGATCCCGGAGAGGTCGTCATCACTCCCGAGGTTGTCAATGATCTGATTGACCCTGAAGATATACTAGAACCAATTGCACCTCCAGAATTATTCAAAGTATTAGAGGATGATTCCCGCGTAAAACTTGGTATTATCAACAAGCTCGAAACGGTCGTCATGGGAGGCGGTCCTGACGAAGAACCAGATCTATCAACCACTGTAGACGAAACAATAGTGACGGTCGTCGTCAGTCCCGATGAGGTTTGCGTTGTCGTAATGGTGAACAGTGAAGTTGCGTCTGGAGGAGTTGGGACTCGAGAGCCACTCGACGGATTTGGCAATGACAGCGTGAACTCTCCGCTTGCCGACATCTGTGCTGTATTCGATGTCAAGGTCAGAGAGCCTGGAGGCAATGAAGAGAGCTGTGCTGAGGAGGCTTGGCTGACGGTAGTGATGACTGTCAAAATGGCAGTTGTTGGCCGTCCGTTTGAGGCAGTACTGGTGACTGTTGTAAGAACATCTGACACTAATGCAGCTGTAGAGCTCAGGGAACTCCTGAAAGTCGGTGGTAGAACAACAGATACGATCGGTCTTGTGGTGATAACCGTAGTGTAACCTCCAGACTGGGTTGTGGTCAGCGTCGTGATGGCTCCGGTGGTTGCCGTTATGAGTGTAGGGCTACCTGCTGGTGGAGGTTGGTTAGGATTGGCCGACGATACAGCGGTAGATAAAAAGGTAGTGCCTCTAGGGAACGTGATAATCGGCGGTATACTCGGACTAGATATCATAGGAACCGTAGGTGACGGAGGAATAGATGGTGATGGTTGCTCTCTGGTGGCGGTTGACAAGCTCGTCAAAACTGTCGTTGCGCCATCGGGAAGAGTACTCGTAATCATCGTTGTAGAAGTGGAAGTTATTAGTACAACTGTAGGAGATGAAATTGTCGGAGATATGTCACCAAGAACGGTAGTCGAAGTACTGGTCAAGATTGTAGTCAATCCATCCGATACAACGGTTGTCAAGATGACCAACACAGTCGAAGTTGTGTGCTCAGTCGTAGGCGGATTATTTGGTACTCCTGGCGTGGCACTCAAAGTTGTAGATGCAGGTGAAGAAATAAGTCCAGGCGGTACACTGTTGGATGTTGGTGTCTCTGTTGGACCCAGAATCGTCGAACCTAAGCCTTGTGAACTTGGCAAAAAGAGTGTAGATACAATCGTGGAAGACCCAGAAATAGGCATCATGGAACTGCTCGGCAAGACCGGAGATGGCCATGGCCGCTGTGGTTCATTGATGGGAGCAGGATTGGTGGTCGCTGGGGTCGTAGACGTTTGAGATTGTGCAACACTTGTTGAACTTGTAGAAGAGGATAATGGGACCGGAAAGCCAGCAGTAGGTCCACCTGTAAGAACGATTGTCGTCACTACCATTGAGCCGGAAAGAAGCGCTGTTGTGGTCATCGTTCTTGGGGGCGCTAGAGGCACTGACGGCAAAATAGTGATGCCCGAGGAGCCTGTAGAGAGCATAGAAGTCTGACCAGAAGGTAAAGCTGTTACAGAGAGTGACGAGATGATTGGCGTAATATTTGGTATCTTGGTTGACAGAGTATTGTATCTGCTGGGTGGTGCGATACTGTCCAACCATCCTGTCGATCCATTCACAAAAGAGAAGTAATATGTACCTCTTGCTGGGTTACTGGGGGAGGCAGCAATGAGCGATACTGTGATTATTGGACCTGGTATAGTGACATAGACGACGCTGCAATTGGCATCCATCTCCTGAGCACTCGCAACGTGGCTGACCGCGAATTCGAGCATCAGGTAGAAGACGTATACATAGAGAGTACATGACCCAAAGGTCACAACGAGGTCTCTGCAACGCTGCGCGTCCCAATGCATCCGACGGATGGCGATGCAAAAGTTATAGATCCAGCGAAAGAGGCGACATAGTTTCCAACCAAGGGTTCGTGAGCTCCATTGGTTCGGGTTTGCCCATGTACATGATGCCCACGGCCAGTCCCACCTACACCATTTCCACATATTGGAGATGAGCGTAGGACGCTTTTTACGACCACGCTGAATGCGGCTTACTTGTCGAACCGTTGGAGTGGACGGCGTCGATGATCTGGAGGTGCTATCCAAAGACCGTAACACCGGGGTGGTTGACCTTGTCGCTGAGCTAGATGTTGTATCAGCCGTAGATGTTGTCAAGGCCGCTATGTCAACGTTGGAGACCAAGCTGGCTCGATTCTTGTTCCTGTTCCAATGCCTCCTGTGTTTCACCATTATGTGTGTGGTAGAAGTATCGAGTACAATACAACAGCGAAGATGATTCTGATATGTTGTTGGTCAGAGAATGTGTTGTTATCCAAAGGTGCTGTCAACGGGTAGTAGTGCAAGGAACGGCGTAAATCACAAGCTTCGACAAAAGGTTCAGGATGCAAACACATTGTGCCTGCCATGGTCCAGGCAACAATATACGCCAGTGGCGAGCAGCGTTGTCAAGAGGAGCTTTGAAGGAGGAAAGACGTGAAGTGTGCGCGTGCAATTGTTCATTGCGCCCGCCTAGGGATGCCGCAGCCCCCTAAGAACTAGCAAGTGCAAACTGGGCTTTGTTTGTTATGGATGGCGAGCAGTTGCAACGAGAGACGGTATGCTTGCAAAATGAACGATGAAGCAAGAAGTAGACGTGGGTGGGACCAAAGTCCGTCTCGAACTTACGTATATTCGCACCGTGCTATGATAAGACTTCTACTCTTTTAGGCTCTCACTTCCCAAAGCCGGATATGTCCAGCTTCATTCGCAATAGCCAATTGCGCCAGACTGCCTTCTCGCTCCTCCTCTTCACTTGGCCTTCCCCACGCAACAGCACTGATCCTGCCCAGTGGCGTCTTATCGGTGGGCCAGTTCTTGAATACTGTGGCTGAAGGCAAATGTACCAGTCTCATCGCATTGTTCTTCCAGCGACTGGCCATGGCCAAGACTTGGCCATCAGCTCCGAAATGCAGGTGCGAGATGGGTGTTGTCAGGTTTCCCAAACTCCGCAATGGTTTTGGAGATTTCGGGATACCGCCATTGGCCCCTGTCGCGCCCTCACTCAAAGTGGTATCTGCCATCCATACTCTTCGATCGTAGATATTGACGACACCGCTCGAACTGCCGACGGCGACCCATCGGTCACCACCCAGCCAGTCTCGCCCACTCTTACCACCAAGAGCAATCACTGTTGTGCCCACTGCACCCTCATCAATCCATCGACCAGTGATGCCGTCTTCGATGCTCCACTCAGTCACTTCGCCATTCTTGCCTGCAATCGTGAGACCTGTTCCGTCACCCCACCAGGCAAAGTCTGCAATGCCTCCACGCGATTCTGCACGGACCTGTGTCGCCCATTGAAGTGTCTTGGCATCCAAGAGATTGAGAACACCACCACCTTTTCTTGATGACCCTCGAAGCGCCATGTACTTGCCATCAGGCGACAGCGAAAAGAACTCCATCGTTCTCTGCTCGTGTTGGTGACCATACACACGCGACACCTTCTCAACTTTGCCAGTCGCAATATTCCACACGTGAAAGTATCGCCGACGCGCGCTGAGGAAGATACGCGAATCAGAAGTCGATGGGTGGAAGGCTGTCGTGACGAGAGGCGTGCGCTTGATGTGTAGGGATGTGAGGAGAGGATTAGGATTCGGCGGGTTCGGGTTGATATGGTGAAGCCAGAGAGTCGAACTAGGACCAGACGAAAGGAGGAGTGGGTAGGATGGGTGGAAAGATAGCGAAGTGATGGCCGACTAGACACATATTAGTGATGAACAGTCCAACAAATAAAGAGACTGCTAACCGGTGAGGATCTCATGACGTCCTTGAGTCGTTGTATATCGATTGTGCCAGCTTGTAGCTTTCTCCGCTTCGCTGCGCTTGTCGAGGTCCGCGACAGCAGGTCCGCGTCCTTTAACAGCCGTGCCAGAGGCTGTGTCGACAAGTCGTCGTCATCCACATCCATATCGCTGGCAGACTCTTCGCTGCTCTCATCGTCACCCACCGTCCGTCTCCTCTTCTTGCTCGCCTTTCCTGTAGCATGTGCCGCCCAGTCCGGGGCGGGGTATAGTCTTTCGTACTGCTTGCGCAGTCTGCGCGCGTATTCCCTGCCATTGACCATGTCGTCATCGACGGTCTCTCGCAGCTTTCTCAGCTGTGGCACTGAGGCCAGACTAACCACAAGTCGTTCGTCGTCGCTGTCTTCCCAGGCAGGCTTATCGTTCTCGTCCTCGGAGTCGATTGTCTGTCTTGTTGGCACCGAGCCCGCCGGTGCAGCGACTGGGCCTGCATCGAAGAAAAATAGATCTTGATCAGCGACCTCTTTCAGGTTGGCATCCTCTCCACCAGACTCGTCTGAGACATCCTCATATGCGCCTGTACCGCGATTGAGAGAAAATGTGTCCAGGCCCTCCTTGAAGCCAGCCGAGTCACCAAAGATGATGCGCTCCAGTTCCTCTTCTTCTGCATCCTTGGGCAGGATTATCTTCTTGTTCTTCTTCGACTCCGTCTGAACATCTATACTGCCTGCATCACTACCCATGTCTTCTTCTCTGCCATCATCCTCCATGTCTTCATCGTCAAAACCAGCCCATTCAGGCTCCTTGACGGGCTGTAGCGCATTGTCTTCTGCATCGCTCCCTTCCAGCGCCAGATCAGCCTGGTGCTTCGCAAATTGATTCGACTCCTCAGGGAGATATCGCGTGCGTCCTCCTGCTCTATGTGGGGCAGTCTTTACCGGCGCCATGATGGAGGATGTGTGGTATACCCAAAAGCTGATTGTGTTTGGCGTTCGCGAAGCTTGCACCTAGCCGCGAAAATAATTGTTGCAGGGATTACGGAGTAGAACTGGCGTACCATGGGAGAATGCTATCAGGCCGGGACGAATCGGCGTCAGCCAATCGTAGGGTCCACATGGGCAAGGTGTTCGCGGGATGACATAAGCACGCACTATCTCCAGCTTCACAAATCACAATTCGCCTTCACATGACGTCGTGCGATTGGTTCCAATTGACACGACTGAAAGACAGACTCCTGCGGGATGACTGCTGCGGGACGATTGCTGCGATCCACACCAATCTGCAGCCTACCACAATAGGCAGTTTGAACATCCACTAGCCTTTCTGTGTAGTGATGATGTATAATTCCGCTACTTAGTATGAGACCAACACTTTACAGAACCCCTTCATCGCGAGCAATACTCGTATTTACAGTCACAGTATCCTAGATGATGAACACTGAATCATAGAGTAGAAAACGCGTCATATCTCGCATCAGTCCCTCACAAATACAGACAGCTTGCTCACTCTTCATACTACCAATTCCCTCCCCCCCCCGTCTATTCCTCCCCCACAACAAAAGTCCTGGACCAGAAACTCCCTCTCCCTTTCCCCCCTCCAGTCACACTTGCACTCGCGCTCTTATCCCCTCCGCTCACCCCTCTCAAGCCTCCGTCTCTCCTCCCACTGCAATGCCCCATCCATGCCCGCCCATGCCACCGCCTCCACATCCGCCACCCTCCTCGCAGACGTTGGCGTTGTCGATTCCAACGCTGTGGCGGGTAGACTAGCATTCACAAGGGGTGCAGAGGTGGATTCCAGCGGTGGCATGGAAGTGGCACGGAAGGCGGACACGGTGAAAAGAGATGAAGCTGCAAGTGATATTGTCGCTGGTGGGAGTGAACCGTTGTTATAGGTGGTAGTGGGAGTGATGGAATAGCTTGTGGGCCAGTTGAAGCTCCTAGCCATCGTGCCGTTTGCGCTTGGTTGGAGGGTTAGGGGTGTGGGAGGGTCGGGGATGGCGCTGTAGAATGAGGTTAGGACTGGGAGGTGTCTGGATATGGTTGACGGAGGGCTGGACGGGGCTGGGGGTGGAGCTGGGAATGTTGCTGTAGATGTGATTGTAGTCGTAACCGTAGTAACACCCTCTTCATTCTCTAGGACATCTGGCTCCGCTGTTCCATCCCCAATGCTGACAACGGTGGTGGTAAGCGTGGAAACTGCTGGCGGTGTCAGTGCCGCTGCATCTAAATTGAGTGCGTCATGGGGTGGCGCCGCGAGCGTGCTGGCTAGCAGGAGATGTACGGCGAGGATGGTAGTATTGAGCATCATGATGAGCGATGTCTTCAGATATTTGTTGGCGTTGGGAAAGTTTCAGGATGCGTGAGCAAGAAGTAAAGTGTTTGAGTGATGATGGCTGGTGGGTTCTTAAAAGGACTGATTAAATTGGGGGGTGGATAACGCTTGAATTGGGAAGACTGTGAAGGACGATATCATTATGTAGTACATGTCTGGAAGCCTCATCAATATTGTGAAGGGCAGTTTTTGAGATGAAGGTGTTGACTGTGAAGCAAGTAGTGTCACATAGAGACCATGACTACGCATTGCGTCATCAAATCATGATTTATTGTCTGATCTCAGCTGCCTTTCGTAAGCGGTTCATGACTGCAGCTGCTATATCATCCCCAGCCTTGTCATCTATACCTTCTACATATATGACATCGGCACCCTTCTTGTCTAGTTCGCGTAAAGCTGAAAAGAGACCCCGCGCAACATCTTGAGTGTCGGCGCCGAGATATATGTCCCAGATATTGGTGTCATTTGTTGCCGACTTGTGGTGCTCTGCATGTGGTATCTGGTGCTGAACGACCGATCGTAGTAGGTTGGATCTACGTGTAGAGGTGTCTTGTTTCTGTGTCGAGTATGATGGTTGCGATAGTTGAACTTCATGTCCATTCGTATGTGACCCATTCTGCTGCACTTTCGCAAGGCCCAGAACTGGCTGCCAACTAATTGTTCGAATCACTCCCACAGTGTTCTCTCTCGTAACTTCTGCTCGAGAAGGCTGTCCTGCCCCAGCTTCAAACAGGATGACCTTGGCTTTCGGGCTGTAATGTCTATACTTCATCCCTGGGGCTCTTGGCTTACTTGCCCCTCCTTCCTGACTATCCTTGTAACCGACCACGACGTTCTCCCAGCCCGGACATTGCCTCAATTGCTCTACAGTTATACCCCCAGGTCGGAGTATGCTTGGTGGACTTGACAGACCGTCCACAACAGTACTTTCCACTCCGACTTCACACGGACCCCCATCAATGATAGTGCGTATTCTCTCCTGGAGATCATCGAAGACGTGTTCGGCTGCCGTCGGTGAAGGGCGCGTCGATGCATTCGCAGATGGAGCTGCGAGTGGCCTTCCACATAGGCGAAGCAGAGAGAGCGCGAGAATAGATCGTGGCATACGAGCTCCAAAAGTTGGCAAGCCGGCAGTGACTTCTGGCGCAAGCATCGAACTGTCGGGTGCCGGGAGAATGATCGTGATGGGACCAGGCCAGAAACGTTCGATGATCGGCCTATATATCGCTGGTATAGGATCATCCTCTGGTCCTACTGCTCCTTTCAAATTCTCTTTGCCCCCTGATAGTATTGCCCGCAACTGTCGTAGCGAATGAATATGTACTATCAACGGGTTGTCCGCCGGTCGTCCCTTGGCAGCAAATATAGCCTTCACGGCCGAGCTTCTTGTCGCATCTGCTCCAAGCCCGTAGACAGTCTCTGTTGGAAATGCGACGGGCGTATCGGTGTTGAGAAGCTCTCCGGCTGCTCTCTTGAGGCTTTCGTAATCCTTCCCTTCCACATATTGAATGTCCCAATCGTCTATCAAGTCCTGCTTGGCGTCTTGGAAACTGATGTTTCCCAGTTTTTCTGGATCGACAGGAAGTATGTTTGTATCCATGGTAATGGACTTTCGAAGGTGAAGTTGGACTTTGGCGAATAACGCTTGTGGTGGCTTGTCGCCCCCAGATCTCCAGGTAAAGGGCGCTGGCACAATGTTCAACGTGGGTAATGTGAGATTGTGGTCCTTTGGCGCGTTGGCTTGCACCAAAGAGCGTATTTTGTATGAACGATAGAAACGGTATATGAGCTTGACATTTGGTATGCGAGGATGTCGCGTGGGCATGTGAGTGATGACTGATGAATGAAGGCCAAAATTTCTCGCCGATCGGAACGCCGGTGGGGCTAAATTCCGATCCATGCAACGACGTCATGTTCGAGATCGGTACACTATGAAAAGTCCTAATCTGGAACGATGTGTTCGTAACAAACAGAATTATCAATTGAGCTTCAATGGCAATGAATACAGATCAAGACTATGTAAAACTTCGGGCAACAAAGCCACATGACACCAATAACACCTTTCCAAACACCTTTTTGAAACAACCATTCCAATACAAAATGAAATCATACACGTTGAAAAGGGTATCCAGCTAACGCCGCCAGGTCAAGAAGGCCTCCTTTCCTAGTCTAGACCCAAAGAAGCTTGTCGACGATGTTGCACTCGCCGCTTATGCAGAGACAGACGCTTCCGGCGGACCTTGCAGGATACCTTCGGCTGGCGCGTCCAAGTCTGCCTGAGGAGCAGTCTGAGCTTGAGAGGCCAGTTCACGGCTGACCGCTTGATCTGCCCACTCACCCCAAAGACTTCGTTTAGCACGAATACGAAGAGGTCCACCGAGCTCGTTCGCAGGCTGCTCGATCTTGATGGCATCTTTGGTGGCAAGGACCAGGACTTCAAAGAACATCTTGGTCGCATCAGCCCGTGACGTCCTTGCCTCCGGTAGCATGTCCTGGAAGAGGATGCTGGTCCTCTGTCGCTCTGGTTCTTCCTCATCAGGCTCTGGCCCCAGTCGCTCTCGTAGGAGGTGCACAGCGTGCTTTGTGCCGAGTGAGATGGGTCCAGCCTCTGCTGGGTGCACGAGGGGAGCGGTTGTATCGTCAAAGTTGTCTGGTACGGAAAAGTCGTTATCGTCGTCTCCCATCTGCGGGAAAGCTGGTTCATCTGGAAGCTGAACTATGTCGTCAGAGCCTACGTGTGTAGTACCATCACCACCGATACCAACATCCATGCCGCCCAAAGTAGGCTCCTCTTGCTCGAATTCCAGCTGGGGTGTTTTCTCGCCTTCAGGAACCGCTTCATCCTCTGTTGTGCCAAGATCCGCAACGCCGCTGTCCCGTTTACGCTTCTGGCTGGGCCGCGACACGACCTCCAACGAAAGAATGCCGCGCAGCTCAGGTGCCCAGCCTTGACTTCGGCCATCACCCAAAATATTCGATACAAACCCTCCAGACTTCTGCATATTGATCAGAGCCATGAGGAGGGGGTCGCGTGGCAAGAATGAGGCCGGTTTGAGAATCTTGTCACGGTTATTTTGTTGCTCTCTGAGTTGATGACTGGAAATCATCGTCTCAGCGTCCTGACCAATGACCCGCCTTCGCTTCGCCCTCGCTTGGTGAATGGATTCTTCCTCTTCTTCCTCAGGAGCGGGCTCAAAGGCGGTAACTTCCTGCTCGAGTGCAGTCGCTTCTTCTTCGCCAAGTTCGGAAAGCGGTGAGTCCTCACGCTGTGGAGGTTGTTCGGGCAGATCGCCAGCCGTTGATCCGGCTGGAAGGTCCATCTCGGACATACCACCCATGGTGATGTCCTCGCCGCCAATGTCTAGTTCTGGAGCACGGGCAATCTCCGTCTCGTCATCCTCGCCAATGTTGATGCCAAGGTCGTCACCGTCATCTAACAGGTCCTTCATCCCAGTGCCGAAATCTTCGGATTGGCGTCGCTCCAATGGGGCATTACGACCCATTTCAATGCTTGTGTCGTTGAATCCAGGCTCCATTTCGTCTTCGCCAATGTTGATGCCCAAGTCATCATCATCGTCCATGAGCTCCATGCGGGGCTGTTCAATACTGCCAGACATGAACTGACTGTTATCCCAGTCCGGTACTGTCGTGTTCCCGAAATTGAGGTTGGTGTCCAGGGCTTGCGACAGCAAGAGGGCGGGATCTGGCATGGGTGCGAGGAGGTCCAGATCTGTGATCATGTCGGGTAGGGTCAGACTCGTTGGATTGGCCACGTGTGTTTGTGAAGGCAAATCGATGTTTCCTGGGCGGAAAGCCTTTTATGTTGTCAGTTGCGTCTGCGCTGCAGGTTCAAGCAAACGCACCATTTTGATCTTCCACAGCGCGTCGTTGCAGTCATCGTGCAGGTAATGCGCTTTTCTCGAGTAGATGCGCACAACACCCAGAAGTAGCTGGGCGTTCAAGCGCAAAGCAAGAGGGCCGCCAGCAGCCCCCTCTGGTCGAATGATGACCTTGATATCCTCATCAATCTTGTCCTGCAACACCTGGGCTTTGGTGAGTTTCTTGTGTTGATTGGCAGCAAGCCAGACGCGTGCCAGCTGGCCAGACTTGAAAAGGAGATCCTCGGGAAGAAACATGTTGATGGCCGAGGGTGGGCAATTGCAGGTGGGGTGGTGGAGAGGTGTTGGCGCGTTGGGCGGTGTTGTTTACTTTGGCGCGTTGGCGGCTGGCAGCTGGCGGAAGCGCGAAGGGTGATGGCGCGCCGACAGCAGCAAGAAAAAGGGGCCTAACAGCGCGCGCAACGGTAGCAATGGCAGTGAATGTTGTTTGAGGCGGTGCGAGGATGATGTTGAGGATGCGCGATGCGCGGGGAGGTGGTGGGTATGGCGGGTACTGGCAGGATAGGTAGATAAGGTAGGTAGACAGGACAGGACAGGACAGGGTTGGGGGTGCATGACATGAGGCTGGGAGAAAGGCTTGGGTGGGAACGTGGGAACGAACGCGAGGGTGCTGGCTTAGTCATGCACCACCACCACCATCGCCATTCTGCGAGCAGCAGTACATACAGTGTTCACCACCACCACGACTGACGACTCTGGAGTACTCCTCTAGTGGAAGTTGTTTTCAATGGCGGTCCAAGGGGGAAAGAATATGCCTCCTCTACTATCTGCGCTGACGGATGATGGACAAGGGCTACCTAGGTACCTAGCCACAATGGACTGTCCATCTCATTGTAGTACAAGAATGAGCAAGAACGCAAAAACTGCAGAATAGACAGTACAGAATGCAGTTGTAGTAGATACTCTATTGTTCCTATGTACTCCATCTAGACGCAAGGCCCCCGTAGATGAATGACATCACAGGTATACGTACCCAAGCTACCTAACCTTGATGCAACAAAGCGCGCCATGGCTAGTAGAGCAGAGTAGTATGACTTACTTGCCTTGCCGGTAGTTGACCATGCAGCAGCACAAACTGGGAACAGAGCCGGGTTTGTGCCTGCCAAGGGGCCTGCAGCCGTGAGCAGCGTGCGTAGGCTGCAAATGTCTTGGGCGTGCGACAACTGCAAGCAGAGGGTGGGTGACTTTGGTGTGACGCACCAGATTCGTTTCGTCATCAGAACCTACCTACTCTAGAAGTTAGAGCTGAGAACTGACATAAACGTTACCATGCTGAACACAGCTACCTACATATATACACCTACATGGATCCAACATGCTGATCGACGGCAACCCATCTAACAAGAGTGCGCATCCCGGATCGTAGTCGGTAGTAGCCGATCAGCCCCTGCTAAGCGTCCCCCAGACCAGAGCGCCGTCGTGCTTTGACGGTACCGTACCTAGCTCGATCCATCTCCAGTCTGATGGTCGTCGTGAATTGGACAACTGTACATAGCCATCCAGACGACTTGCTGACCCACCTCCTCTCGCCGCCGCCTCTTCTCTTCTTGTCCATCCTTGTTTAGACTGGCCAGAATAGGTTGGCGACATCAATGCGATAATCGGCCTTCTAGACCCTTTCTCTCTCTCTCTCTCTCTCTCTCTCTCTCTCTCTTTCTCCCCCCCTCCTCTCCCCACTCCCCACTGGTGTATAGGTACCTGGGGTAGGTAGTAGTAGTCTTCGACCGACAGGCCACGTTTGAGCGCGGCGCAATCGTGTTGGCCCTCTCTCTCTCTGGCCATGCCAACATGTCAAGAGCGTCCACCCCATCGCTACCCGTCTACCATGCCTCAGCCGGACACTCCAAGACTTCGCGGGACGCATCGCCGTCGTTGCAGCCCTCGGCGGCCTCAAAACGCACCAGCGCGCCTTCTGTATGCCATTCGCGCCTCCACCTTGCCCTAAAGCGTTGCTGATAGGTCTGACTCTGACCCTGATCCTGACCGTGAACAGTCAATAACATCGTCGTACTCGCTTCTGTCCTCACAAGAAACTGCCCACAAACTGTCCACGTCCATCACCCACGGCCTCTCCTCCTCAGACGCCGCCGCGCGCATTCACCAACATGGCACCAACGAACTCCCACACGAAGAACCAGAGCCGCTGTGGCTGCGCTTTGTCAAGCAGTTCAAAGAGACGCTCATATTGCTCTTATTGGGCTCCGCCGCTGTCTCTCTCCTACTGGGCAATCTGGAGGATGCCGTCAGCATAGCAGTGGCGGTGACCATTGTCGTAACCGTGGGCTTTGTGCAGGAATATCGCTCGGAAAAGTCGATTGAAGCGCTCAATCAGCTGGTTCCGCACTCTGCACACATCATTCGCGCGGGAGTAGAGCCGACAAGAAACGGGCGGGTGCCCAACGGCATCGCTACCGAAGCCATTGAAATGGAGGATTTAAAAGATACCCCTGCGACGTTAGCAGCCGCAGAGAGCAAGTCGAGTACCATATCCGCCACCCTGCTGGTCCCTGGCGACTTGGTCCTATTCCACACAGGCGATCGCATCCCAGCCGACATACGCATCACACACGCCGCAGATCTCAGCATCGACGAGTCCAACTTGACGGGCGAAAACGAGCCGGTTACCAAGTCGCCAGATGTCATCGCACCTCCGCCAGGCATCCAACGGCCCGCCTCGCCCTACTATCCTTCTGAAGCTGCGGGAACCGTGGGCGCAGACATACGCCTCAACGACCAGAAGAATATCGCTTTCATGGGAACATTGGTCAGATCAGGATACGGACAAGGCATTGTGGTAGGAACAGGAGCCAACACCGAGTTTGGCGCCATTTCAGCCTCCTTGGGGGAGATTGAGAGTCCGCGGACGCCTCTGCAACTCTCCATGGACCGCCTTGGAAAGGACCTAAGTTACATGTCATTTGGTGTCATCGCCTTCATTGGCCTGATTGGACTCTGGCGGGGCTGGAAGTTTCTCGAGGTCTTTCAAATCGCCGTTTCGCTGGCCGTAGCAGCTATTCCAGAGGGACTGCCAATCATCGTTACGGTCACCCTTGCCTTGGGCGTGTTGAGAATGTCCAAGCGAGATGCCATCGTTCGACGGCTGCCAAGCGTAGAGACGTTAGCTTCCGTTAATGTTGTGTGCACCGACAAGACAGGTTCGTATCTTCAAAAGGCATGTCTACGTCGATGGCTCACTATCCCTAGGCACACTAACAACGAATCATATGACTGTCACAAAGATATGGCACTTCGATGAGGCGCTTCCAGTGGATATCAAGAAGAAGCATGCGTCCACAGATCTCGATCCACCCACTCGCAAAATTCTCCGAATCGGTAATATTGTGAACAACGCCCGTCTGCTCAGCGACCAAGCTGCATCAGCAGCATCAGCAGCAGTTCTGTCTTCAACGTCTTTTGGAGACGACAACGCCACCACAAAGAGCCGCTGGGTAGGCCAGCCCACAGATGTTGCCTTACTAGACCTTCTAGACGCATTTGGAGAAGATGATATCCGGGAACGACTCGGTGACCGCAAGTTTGAAACACCTTTTAGCTCCGAGAGGAAGTGGATGGGTGTTGTGATCAGTGGAAGTGCATGCGGGGATGTTACCCCAGGCTCTGACTTTGCATACGTCAAAGGCGCTCTCGAAAGAGTGCTTGATCGATGTGACACATACGTTACCGCTCAGGGTCGGGAATTTGTTCTAGATCAAGCAAAGAAACAAGAAGCTTTTGATGCTGCAGAGTCCATGGCGCAAGAAGGCTTACGTGTTCTCGGCTTCGCAAGTGGATCATCAAAGAGTAAAAAGAAGGGAGCCAGCGGGACTTCGACACCAGCTACGACAGGCTCTGCGCTTGGAGATGACGAGCAATATCGTGGTCTTGTCTTCGCTGGACTCGTCGGCATGAATGATCCGCCACGAAAGGGTGTGGAGAAGGCGATTCGACGGCTGATGGCAGGCAAAGTCAAAGTGATTATGATTACAGGTGATGCAGAGACCACTGCCGTTGCCATTGGCAAGAGCTTGGGAATGCCCATTACGACCAATTCAGCGCTTGGAAAGTCGGTCATTCGTGGTGACGAACTCGACCAGATGAGCGATGAGGAACTGTCACAGGCCATCGCCACGACTTCTGTGTTCGCGCGCACCAGCCCTGAACATAAGATGAAGATCATCCGCGCTCTACAGTCACGTGGTGATGTCGTTGCCATGACTGGTGACGGTGTCAATGATGCGCCAGCGCTCAAAAAGGCTGATATTGGCATCTCCATGGGTCGCTTGGGCACAGACGTGGCAAAGGAAGCCGCAGACATGATTCTCACAGACGACAACTTTGCAACCATTCTAAATGCAATTGAAGAAGGCAAAGGCATCTTCTACAACATCCAAAACTTCCTCACCTTCCAGCTCAGCACCTCCGCCGCAGCACTCAGCCTTGTCCTCCTCAGTACCTTCCTCGGCTTCCAGAATCCGCTCAACGCCATGCAGATTCTCTGGATCAGTAATGCCCCCCGTTTCCTGCTTCTCGCCTTAACGCACACCACACCTTACTAACCATACCTACCAGATATCCTCATGGACGGCCCACCCGCTCAATCCCTAGGCGTCGAGCCCGTCGACCCAGCCGTCATGGCCCTCCCTCCTCGCCCCCGCCACGCACGCGTCCTAACGCGGCCCCTCATCCAACGCGTCCTACAATCCGCAACCATCATCATGCTCGGCACCCTCACAACCTACTACCGCGAAATGTCGATTGACAACCAAGTCACCGCGCGCGATACCACCATGACGTTTACCTGCTTTGTCCTCTTCGACATGTTCAACGCGCTCACCTGCCGCTCATCGAGCAAATCCATCCTCGCGGGCGAGATTGGCCTCTTTGATAACAAAATGTTTAATTATGCGGTTGCCGGCAGCTTGCTCGGACAGGCCATGGTCGTCTATTTTCCGCCCCTGCAGCGCGTGTTTCAGACAGAGGCGCTCGGCCTCGCCGACTGGGCGCATTTGCTGGCTGTTGCGAGTTGTGTGTTTTGGGCGGATGAGGGGAGGAAGTGGTGGGTGAGGTGGAAGGTTAGGCGGGGTATGGGTGGTGGGTATAGTACGGTTGTGTAGGTTGGTTGTTTTGGGTTGATGATGGGGGAGGTGGGCGCGTGGTTTAGTGGTTGTGGAAGGGGATGATGAGGAAAAGTGGGAAATTATATATATATAACATTATATATATATATATATATACAAATGATTTGTTTCTTACAAATTGGGTTCATCCTGTGTGATTTAATTTTCTCGGCTTGAATTGTGTTGGTCGTGATGGATCAAGTTGAGTGTTTGATTTCATTTCCACTATACACTCCCCTTTCTTCTTTACACATTCATGGTCCCTTGGACCTCCTCCCAACATCCATCCATCCATCCATCCCCACCCCCCTCAAACCAACCCCACCCTCCTCATCTCCCCCTCCAACGCATTCACGAAGTGGCCATTACGATATTGTCTTCTTCAATCGCGTAGGTATGGGTACGCTTGCTTAGTTGGTGTTTTCTGCTCCACGATGAATTTCTAGAGGTACCGTACCGGTACCGGTATGACTCGTTGGCAATCTAAAATTACCCTCCTCACGACTTGTCCCTGTTCAGATCTTTCTTCTCCA